GACTCGGAGCCGCGAGGGGTAACCACGGACACGCGGGAAGGCAGCCACGCGAAAGACAGCGCCAACAATTGCCCAAGTTCTGCGGGCCTCTATATATCGAGGCCCTTCAGATCTGCTGGCTCCGTCCTCCTGCGCGTGCCTCGATCCCAGCTGCGTTCCTGGGCTGAGCGGGCCACTTGCTGTGTCTGCGCCACGGTTGTGGAAATCCCTATCGTTGGAAATTTGTTTATCCGACAATGTGGACACTTTTAAGTCTCGTCTTGAAAACACATCGTCTTAAGTCGGTTTATTCTATTTAGCGTCTTCTTTCTTGACCTATCCTTATTCTTACAAGGCGCCTTGAGACCTTCGTGGAAGGCTCCTTACAAATAATTGTATTAATTGTTATCGGTCAAAAAAATGAGTGTTTACATGTGGGAGGGAACTGAAGCACCCGGAGAAAGCCACGCTTGCGAGGGGGCAACGCTCTATCCCGTACAGACGGAACAGGCGAGGTCCGCATTTTTGCTGTACCGCCCTCTCCTGGCGAGCTAGGGTACGGCACCTCCTCCTCCACGCCCACGGAAGTGTCACAACATGTCTGTGTGTTCATAATATAGGGTTTGGGTTAGATCGCGTAAATATAAATGTGTCGTTAAACCCGCCACCATCCAACACATCCAATTAGTAAGGTTTGTCACGTACAGCACACCGGTGTGTGTTGGAGAGCAAATCCAACACACACCGGTGTGCTGTACCCGTAAGAAACTGGCATTTTCTGTTTACGTGACAAACCTTACTGATTGGCTGTGTCGGGTGGTGGCGGGTTGAACGACACATTTATACTTACACGATCACCCCAAAAAACCTAAAAGATGGATTAAATTGGTCGCGAATGCCTACTCCGCGTTCTACTGATGAGTGTGTGACCCACCAAACCTCGTTGCATTCACAGTGCTGGGTTGTAGGCCATGTGCCTAGCCACCACCGCCACGGTGCGATTGAGCCCGTGAAATTAGGATGAGTTTCACTCGTACGGTCGTAAAGACAAAGGAAATAAAAATAACGCGTATGCGTGATCGTGTGTAGGAGCTCAACGGATTTGCTGCATCACGAGACGGTACGAGAGATGGTGACCACTTTTGGGAAGCCTCCATTCCAGCAGTGGATGGTTGTTGATAGTCATTGTGTCGATCTGTACACGGCAGAGGCAGGAGCGTGCCAGGTTGCGCAGCGAGTGTTCTTACAGGAGCGATGATGACGCTCCTACCAGCGATGGCCATTACACTCCTGCATTCAGCAGTTCATAGATCAAGGCTGATGATGATCGATACTGCGCTGGACGGGGGTGGTCTCTTTTATACGTGGAGGTGCTCCTGCCGGAGAAGGCCATTATGTACCTGCATTATGTACCTGCATTATGTACCTGTATTATGTACCTGCATTATGTACCTGCATTATTTACCTGCATTATGTACCTGCATTATTTACCTGCATTATGTACCTGCATTATGAACCTGCATTTTGTACCTGCATTATTTACCTGCATTATGTACCTGCATTATGTACCTGCATTATGTACCTGCATTATTTACCTGCATTATGTACCTGCATTATGTACCTGCATTATGTACCTGCATTATTTACCTGCATTATGTACCTCCATTATGTACCTGCATTATTTACCTGCATTATGTACCTGCATTGCGGCCTAATGAGGTAGATACTTGTCGTGGCGTCCCACTCTCCTTACCAGCGCTGCGTGCCACTGATTGTTTACGCGATGTGACGACAACAGCAACAACAAGAACAGCAACAACAAGAACAGCAACAACAAGAACAGCAACAACAAGAACAGCAACAACACGAACAGCAACAACAAGAACAGCAACAACAAGAACAGCAACAACAAGAACAGCAACAACAAGAACAGCAACAACAAGAACAGCAAAGCCGCCAGGAGTCCCTGCCTGTCCTGCTATGCGCACGTTGTTCTCGGCAATTAGTTGCGCAGCGATGGCGGAGCGACTGCATCCTCGTGGTAACCATTTAGCGTTTATAAGTAGAAGAGCATGGCTTTAAAAAACAATTGGAATCTAGATGCTTATTTTTGGAAATGTTTTATATTCATTATTGCATCGACTTCTCAATAATGGCACACGTAGCATGGAGTGGTAGTGGTAGTGCAACTTTGCCGGGTATGGTGAGAGCAGGCGCACTGTGCGAATCATTTTGCTTGCTTAGACCCTTCTGCCCAGTGCCTACACCCACGCCATCCCTCCTATCCCCCACTCCTTCTATCCTGTCCCCACTCACTCCTGTCCTCCCACCACATCTTGATTTCGACTCTAACCCCCAACCCCCTCTGCCTTCCTTTCCCTAAAGCGGCATCTTTCCCAACTTTACTCCAGAACTTCCTTCCTCGAGGTTTCACCTCTGGGAATGTTGCCCAGTTTACATCCTCTGCCTATCGTGGATCGTTCTATTTACACTTCTCTCCTCCTGTACCCACTCTGAATTCGACGCCCATGACACATATCTCCAGAATTCTCATCTGCGTATTCCTTCTCTTTTCAGAGTCCAAACGTCTGCTCCAAAATACACTGCATGCTAGGGTTTTGTTTTGAATTGTTCATTCATATTTATGACTGAAGACTGTCCACGCAGGCCTCTGTACTTGGGCGTCTGGGCAGGACTGCGAGATCAATGGGTTGTGGAGACATTGCTGTCCACTCTGTGGCTGCTGAATTTATTGTTGGAGGGCAATAGAACCGTGAGTGTGAGTCATTAATTTCTCCAGTTAAAACAATCAATTAAATGCACTGATTAACCCGGCACGTGCGTGATGTACCGATGATGGCCGGTTACATTTTCGGTGGTAAAGTTTCCATGTAGTCCTTTGCAAAGGACGCAGCCGCGGTGCAATTGTCAGCACTCCTGACCCCAGAGGTCAACGGTTCGACCTCACGGCGCGGCAGTTGAAAGCAGTGGTGAGGTCATCATGAATCGCCCAAGCGCAGTTGTGCGTCCAGCAGTGCACGTTGGTACACCGCAAGTCGGATCGGCAGGTCACGTGTGGTGGGGTACAATGTGGGTACTCCCAGCGTGGAAGATTAAGTTAAAATACCCTCGAGAGGGGCTCTCTCGAGCTCCCTCTAGTGAGGCGCTTCCGCCAGCAGTGGCGTGAGCAAAGATTGCAGCGTCTTTAGCTTGCCGAAAATAAGGCTATTAATGCAAGAGGAGAGCGTTTTCATAATCTCTAAAAAGCCAGAACCGTCTCACCCAAAAAGAGAGCCCCCCAACCAAATTACTGCACAGCGCTGACCTTTATCCAATTTCTTTAAAATAAGCTGTCGCATAAGAGCTTAAATGCGACGCCAATAATGGATGCTTCTCGTACATTACAATTCATCCACGCCGTATTGATCACGCACATAATGTGTCTCAACATGCAGGCATTAATGCGGCAGCTTCCGCGAGCTTCCCACTGCTTGATTTACTGCGCCACTTTCTATAAATCTCCGGGCGTGCGGAAGAGCAAGGGGCGGGGTGGGAGAAGAGTGCTGAGCCGTGGGTGGTGAGAATTAGACGGAGGAAGCATCGGCCTCGCTCCAGCTGAGACCCCCATGCCCTACACAGTCCAGCCGCTCGCGTGTCCCAGCCGCTCGCCTGCCCTGTTGCGCTCATGACTCCCGCAGTCGTGTGCACAGTCATGAGCTGTGTTCAGTCCCAGGCTCAAGTTTGTTTCGTGTAGCCAGCTGAGAACTCGAGAGACAAGGCTAGGGGTCTCATCTGCCGGGGTGACCTGGACCACCAACACTTCAAAGGCAAAACAAATCAGGTACAGGCAGTGAAGCCAATGGGAATCGGTGTGGAAATCAGTGTGAAAACAAGTGTCACGAGAAGTACGTGTATATATTATAGGAACTGAAATCAATGTTAAATGATCGGGAAGATATTTTTAGCCTGATCATAGCACCGATGTAAAAATTAAGTTACAGAAAACGTTAAACAGATACAGGGTGGCTATTGTACAAGTATATAAAGAGACAAGGAATTCACGAGTCAAATGCAATAGCAAGTGGTGTTCAGGGCCTAAAACAACAACAAAACCCAGTAGGCAAAGACTCGGGACTGTCAGGGACCCCCCCCCCCCAAAGCAATCTCCGGCGTAGAGAGCGGAGTAGAGACCGGCGTGGAGAACGGCGCGTGTTTGCGTGAACCCCCTGGTGGTCATCTCCATCGGATTCACGGAGAATAGGGAAGAGTACCGCAGTGTGACCAGAAGCAGGGATCCCGGCCGCGTCTGTCGCGACAAAAAACATCCACGTGAGAGTCCCCCACTCCTCATTACAGCCCGTGGTCAGTCGCGGGTAATAATTCCATGTTCTTATGTCGGGGACGAGTCTTATCCAAGACCGTAGGTTTGTGGAGTGTATGTTAACTCACCCTCTCTGGGATGGACGTCTCTCGTGATGCGGTCCTCTGAGTGCCCCTGCTCCTGCCGCCCGTCCCCCTGGGAGGGTGACATTCCCACGGAGCTGCGCTCCACTCCGAGTGTTTAACAGCTCTGGAGTCGGCGGGTGAGAGGGCTTAGATGCCCCTCTCCAGGCTCAGGCAGCGCGGGCAGCAGCGGGGCAGCAGCGCTCCGGCTGATGCCCACCCCCCTCGAGCTCACCGGCACAACCCCCACGTGTTGTGCGTGTGGTTTTAAACTGGGAGCGGTGGGGCAGTAGTTAGCGCGCTGCGCTACGAACGCGGTGGACCCGTGCTCGGTTTCACGCTCGCGACCAATAACGGCGAATATTTTAACCGGTCCTGTGCCTCGCCTAGGTCGACTCAGCCTTAAATGAGGTAGCCGGGCGTGGTGCTGGCCATCCACCCCCATCTTGTCCCATGTCGGCTTGATAGGTGCTTGCCACCACGAGCCCCAACAGTTTATTAAGGGCTATATGGGGGTATTTGCGTTCGTGTATACGTCTGTGTTGATGCAATGCCTATGTGCCCGTGTGTGTATCCATGTGTGCCAGCCTGTGTTGTGCGTTAGGGATGAGTGGCCAGGCTGCGTCGACCGGCAGCCTCCACAGTGACACACGGCGCGGATCCGAATGCTGCTGTGCTGTCTCCGTTTCCCTGCGCGATAATAACACAAACACGAGCAGGCAGCCATCCCTCCTCCTCCTCCCTCCCCGCGGGATTTATCAAAGCCCACAGCAAGCTAACATTACTCTTAATGTCTACAATTTACCGAAGCTGTCAGGCAAAGATTGAGAATTTTGGGGGAGATTTTTAGTTTGTTTAATTTAACAGCTGAAACAAATCTAAACCAAAGTCTCCTTCCTTTCCTTTGCCGCATAAAAAAAGTAAATTCTGCAATTTCATTACCGTGGAGAAGCGGAGCTCCGCCGTTTATTTTAAAAGGGGGGCTTTAAACCATCGCACCGCCCACGTCGCCCCCTCTCGTTGTGCCCAAAATTGCACAGGAATACCATTACCGGGCACAAACCTCGATAGGACAAAACGATAAGCCGCCGTTAGCCCGAAGCCGCCGCAGGGCTGATGGGCTAATATTTACAGAGTCCGAGTCGCGAGTGTGCCTCTGCTCTTGGCATGCCCGATTAAGGCGGGCATAATCCCTCGCAAACAGCCGGGCGCGCCGCGCTATCTCCCAACCTCAGCTGGCTCTCAATGGCACTGTTGTAAATCGTCCGTACATGTTATATAGGGGGCTCTGTCGCAAAGCCGGATTCGGTATAAGTGGGCCAGGAGAATGGTAACACAATTTGCTCAATACCTCGGCAGTGTAAACAATGACAAAATAAAACATCAAGTGGTCTCCAAATGGACGTAACAGCAGACAGCGGCCGAAGGTCGGGCACCAAATGCGACATTTTCACGTGGGACCGTGGGGACGCTGAGTGGCTACTCCACTCCTGGGTCACCTGGTACGAGGTAAACACCGCGGCCACGGTACCCTTGCGGTTGCACGACGCTCGAAGGTGGCCCTGCTTGCCCGAGCCAGGATGTTTTTTTTGTGTGAAGCCAGTGCATCGTAGCTAATGGCCAGGCGAACATTAGCCACACCGTGAGGGCCCCGTTCAGGCTGAGCTCGGATGTGCCAGTGGTGAAGGGGCCAGCCTTGGGCGCTAAGGACCCGGCAAAAAGAGCGACGTAACGACGAGCTCTGGTGCCGCTGTGATGAAGCGATGAGCGCGGGTAATGCTGCCTCGGACGTCACCCAGCCTGCGCTGCCCGACGTGAGTTATGGGCTCAATACCTCGGCTGCGAACCGTTAATTAGACTGTTGGAAATGTTTACTTAGGATGGCTTTAATTTATCTCAAAGCGGATTTTTTATATTGAAATAATTTCAGCGCTGTCCAAACTTGAAATTAAGATATGATGGAAGAAACGCAGAGTCAATGCGTATTTCTCACGTTTCATTAAATATTTAGAAAATAATCCTGAAAATGTCAGCATGATGTTGTGCGCTTGCTGAAGTCTACCCGGCATGTGAGAATAAACACAACTTGAGTGAGAGGTGCATCCCTCCCTCCCTCCCTTCCACAAGGCGAATATTTCAGAGGGGCAAAAACCAAGAGTTCTCAGACAGAAATTGGTTTTCCTGATTTCGTTTAGGATGAAACACCCGCTGCTGTACGCTTATTCGGTAATGATTGCATATGCAGTCATTACTGAAGAGACGAGTGCGAGGGATGAAGTAGAAAGAAAAGTATTTTGGCCGACGGTGAGGTGAGGGAAGAAGGCACGATCTGTCAGGTGCTGCCCCTGTGTGTCACACGGTCTGTCAGTGCTGCCCCTGTGTGTCACACGGTCTGTCAGTGCTGCCCCTGTGTGTCACACGGTCTGTCAGGTGCTCCCCCTGTGTGTCACATGATCTGTCAGGTGCTGCCCCTGTGTATCACATCATCTGTCAGGTGCTGCCCCTGTGTGTAACACGATCTGTCAGTGCTGCCCCTGTGTTTCACACGATCTGTTAGTGCTGCCCCTGTGTGTAACACGATCTGTAAATGCTGCCCCTGTGTGTCACATGATCTGTCAATGCTGCCCCTGTGTGTCACATGATCTGTCAGTGCTGCCCCTGTGTGTCACACGGTCTGTCAGGTGCTCCCCCTGTGTCACATGATCTGTCAGGTGCTGCCCCTGTGTGTCACACGGTCTGTCAGGTGCTCCCCCTGTGTGTCACATGATCTGTCAGGTGCTGCCCCTGTGTGTCACATGATCTGTCAGCGCTACCCCTGTGTGTAACACGATCTGCCAGTGCAGCCCCTGTGTGTCACGATGTGTCAGTGCTGCCCCTGTGTGTCACACGGTCTGTCAGTGCTGCCCCTGTGTGTCACACGATGTGTCAGTGCTGCCACTGTGTGTACACACGATCTGTCAGTGCTGCCCCTGTGTGTCACATGATCTGTCAATGTTGCCCCTGTGTGTCACATGATCTGTCTGTGCTGCCCCTGTGTGTCACACGATCTGTCAGTGCTGCCCCTGTGTGTAACACGATCAGTAAATGCTGTCCCTGTGTGTCACATGATCTGTCAGTGCTGCCCCTGTGTGTAACACGATCTCTCAATGCTACCCCTGTGTGTCACATGATCTGTCAGTGCTGCCCCTGTGTGTCACATGATTTGTCAGTGCTGCCCCTGTGTGCCACACGATCTGTCAATGCTGCCCCTGTGTGTCACACGATCTCTCAATGCTACCCCTGTGTGTCACATGATCTGTCAGTGCTGCCCCTGTGTGTCACATGATTTGTTAGTGCTGCCCCTGTGTGTCACACGGTCTGTCATGCTGCCCCTGTGTGTCCACGATTCCTGTGTCAGGTTGCTGCCACTGTGTGTCACACGATCTGTCAGTGCTGCCCCTGTGTGTCACATGATCTGTCAGGTGCTGCCCCTGTGTGTCACATGATCTGTCAGGTGCTGCCCCTGTGTGTCACACGATCTCTCAATGCTGCCCCTGTGTGTCACACGGTCTGTCAGGTGCTCCCCCCGTGTGTCACATGATCTGTCAGGTGCAGCCCCTGTGTGTCACATGAATCTGTCAGTGCTGCCCCTGTGTGTAACACGATCTGTCAGTGCTGCCCCTGTGTGTAACACGATCTGTAAATGCTGTCCCTGTGTGTCACATGATCTGTCAGGTGCTGTCCCTGTGTGTCACATGATCTGTCAGCGCTGCCCCTGTGTGTAACACGATCTGTCAGTGCTGCCCTGTGTGTCACACGATCTGTCAGTGCCTGTCACTGTGTGTCACACGATCTGTCAATGCTGCCCCTGTGTGTCACATGATCTGTCAATGTTGCCCCTGTGTGTCACATGATCTGTCAGTGCTGCCCTTGTGTGTCACACGATCTGTCAGTGCTGCCCCTGTGTGTAACACGATCTGTAAATGCTGTCCCTGTGGTGTCACATGATCTGTCAGTGCTGCCCCTGTGTGTAACACGATCTCTCAATGCTACCCCTGTGTGTCACATGATCTGTCAGTGCTGCCCCTGTGTGTCACATGATTTGTCAGTGCTGTCCCTGTGTGCCACACGATCTGTCAGTGCTGCCCCTGTGTGTCACACGGTCTGTCAGTGCTGCCCCTGTGTGTCACATGATCTGTCAGTGCTGCCCCTGTGTGTCACATGATATGTCAGTGCTGCCCCTGTGTGTTACACGGTCTGTCAGTGCTGCCCCCCTTTTTGCCACATGGTCCAACCACTGCTGCCCTCTGTTTCCGCAGTAGAATGCCGCCTGCGAGCGTCCGAATCTCCTGGCGTGAGCACCGCGCATCAGCAGCGCCGGCAGCTCCCTGGCAATCCCCCTGCTCCGCCTGCATCTGGAGAGTTATGCAGCCTTGAGTGATCCGGGTAAATGTGACATATTCCTGAAATTGCACATCACTCGCTCTCCAGCCTGGGCGGCCGGGAATCGCAACGCATGCTTGGTCGCAAATTGCAACCGTCCCCTTTCAGGTGTAAATACCGACAAAATGATATATTTGAATTAAAATCTTCCATTTCGCCGAGTCCGTGCCGTTCGGCGTTCCCCCGAGAGGCAAAGAACCGAGTTAGAGAGCGCAAGGACGGACGGTCAGGCGTGAGTTCCACACACACACACGATGCCCCGAAATGCTTCTTCATCCCAGAGTCACCACCCGTGATAATGGGAGTAGGACAGCTACAAAAGACAGAAACATAGATTTACTGTTTATTGAAAGGACATTTTTATGCCACCTATAATGTTAAGGCTTTATTGGGGAAAGGCAGTGGGAATATTTCAAAAGTTGAATAGAAACTGGAAAGATAAATACCATCAGTAACAGCTTAAAGGTAAACATCTCGTAGCACGCGACTACCAGAAGAAGTCTACAAGTCACGTGATCACGTGTTGCGTTGACGCGTTCATGCACGCTCTTTGTCAGCTCACTGCTGGATGTGGGCCTCCCCATGCCGTCGTAGGTGTTACTCGATCATACTTCACCACGCTGGTCCTTGTGGGTTGGTGGACGCTGGGAGCATAGACGTGGGATCTTAGAAGTACTGTACAAAAAAGGAGCTGCGCTGCACGCTGCTGTGCACCACGTGCGCCTCGCAGCCCGCGTGGTATGCAGCCGCTGCCCAGTCTCAGCTCTGCTTCGTAGCTTCTGGGACACGATGAGATCGGACGCAGTCTTGGCGATTTGGTCATAGGAACAGATGCAGTAGATCACGGATAGCAATGTAAACTCAGTGCTTCATATCTGGGGTTAAATGAAATTATTTATTTACTGGGTGAAGCCCACCGAGCTCTCAGATATTTTTCAGAGGCGACCTGGCCACGCTTAATGTAGCTCATCAAAGTGGCTTATATCATCACATGTGGGAATGTGGAGGGCATAGGACCGGTGGGCCTGGAGAAAAAATCCCGTGACCACGGGGAGAGGAAAAACACGTGGACTCCAAATATACAACAGGCATCGTCAGGGTCAAGATCGAACCCACAACCTGTTGCGTGCCAGAACGAGATAACATCTCCCTCGGAAAACTCAACATTTTTAATGAGATAGAGTTGTCAGCAGGAAAATTTAAAGAAACGGTGAACTGGTAACGAAGTGCTAATTATTGCATCTGTGTTTCTGTGGTGCCTGCACAGGGCCCTCGTGACCCTGAGCCGGGCCCACGTGACCTCGCGCAGGGCCCAGGTGACCTCGTGCAGGGCCCACGTGACCCCGCGCGGGTGGAGGAGGGATGGCCCTCGGCGTCCAGGGGTCCGCCCCTCGAGCCCTCGTTCCGCGCTTCAGAGCCCTGTGTCACATTGCCGGTTACGCTGCTCAGCAAAATGAGAGAATCCCAAACCCTCTCCCTGTTAATCACACACGGTGACAATTTTATTGAGGGAGGAAAAGGTTTGGTTTTCTCTACTGAATAACTTAAGATTTCGTGTGAATTATGACCTTTCGCCCCGCCCGACACATACAAAAGATTAGCCGGGTTATTGGGCCCTCGGTAATTGCACGTGCCTGAACGTTACACATGTACTATTGGCGCGTACTCTAGATATCTGCTGGCTGTGGCTGGCTCCACTGGGGTTAGGCATCGTGCGAAAGCCACTATACCCATCCCTCCCAGCTCGGCCGGCTACGAAGCTACTGGTGGCGTGGCCAGATTGAACGAATATTGGTTTCCCAAAGAACAACATTTTCGCGACATTGTACCCCCAGGGGAAGGAGAATAGAGTGGCTCAAGTAAATTTGCTGGGCAGGTGGCTGTGTGGCTTATAAATGCAGCAGTTAAATCAAGGGGTCAAGTTTCCTGAATCACCCCGACAGCCGCTGTCCATCCAATGGTACAATTGGTTGGACTACGCAGAGTTAACCGGCAGGTTGCGTGTGGTGGGATCTCCTTTCTCCTCCTGTTCTGACACCACAGTCATAGATGTCTCCAGTATGGGACGCACGATATGGCCAGCAGTGGATAGACCATAGGTCATGCTATGGCCTGGTCTGTATAGCAAATACAGTCGGGGTGTCTTTCATCCAGCAGTGGATTGAAAGATTATTGTAATTATTACTTCTCAAATAATTGTTGCCAACAACCTGCTTTTTTGGGCAAAAGGACTTTGTGGTATCTTCTTTGGTTCTTTCGGTAAAGTCACGTAGAATGAGAATAAAATAATAAATTGATAAAATAAAATAACACAATAATATTCTCACGACAGAACAGCGCTGTCCTCCAGACAGTCTCGTCCCTTCACCTGATAAAGGCCGCTTGTGTTGTGGCCGAAACGTCGTGAGAATATTATTGTGTTATTTTATTTTATCAATTTATTATTTTATTCTCATTCTACGTGACTTTACCGAAAGAACCAAAGAAGATGAATCCTTGCACTCACGAAAGCTTTAAATCGAGACTTTGTGGTAATTTTCCTTCTGATAACCGAACACTGTGAGTTTAAGAGAGAATCCAATTTATGAAATGAATATACCCTACCGCTTATTAATTCATAAATTTGGGAAACGCCAAAATCTCCATAACGTTAGGCTCATCCTTGCCCTCATTGTAGGAGTAGGAATATTATATAAAAAGTGAAATATTGGTGCATATCTTTCACTTTCATCTAAATTGTTCCATGGTATGTGCTTATTCCCCGGGGCTCTCTGCAGAAATTATGATTATATACTCTTTCTTGCCAGTCATACTTTTTTTGTAACATAAATGGTAAGACGAATCTCTTAATATTACCATAATTCAAAATTAGATATAATGTTTAAAAAAAAGTTTTAGAATGTGAAAATATTGGTTTAATTTTTGAACAAAGGATGAATCTCTTCGTGGCAGAACCAATTAAAAATAACAAGCATGAATTTGCTCAGCAAATGCAGCTAAATGAAAGAAAAAAAAAACGGTGGTGCAGCCGCTGCATCGATGTTTGTTTCCAGTGGATAATTTACGAATGAGCCCCTTGGGACTCTGCCGTATAAACGGTTACACCACAGTTAGTGGATTGACAGGTCCGCGTGTGGTGGTGGGGTAGAGTGTGGCTTACTTCCCCTCTCTTTCAAAATAGTCTGGCGAGCACTAGAAGAAAGAGTAGGCCAAAATGCTCCCTATAAACGTCCTCTCTCGTGCTTACATTTGTGTCGGTCTTTCCACCAGCAGAGGTGAGACCAAGCGACTACAGGGCTGCACCCTAGACTTCGGGGCTCACGTCTTCAATTTGACTGCGGTGCCCACCAGCCTCCTCCCAAAGCAGGGTTTGTGGCATAGGTGCAGCTTGACGAACGCAATGACGAGAAAACAGACTCCTTGAAAAAAACCACAGACGATGCATTCTACTACGTCTTCACCGACATTCTAAATAATTACAATTATAATGCAAATCATAATTGAGATTTATATCGGAGTCATATTGCAACGCAGTATAGGAACAACTCGTGACATGAAATATTATGGAGTAAACGTGAAATAACCGAGAAAATAGCCACAGGGACGCAGCACTCAAAAATGTAAAAAATTAAATAAACTTGGATTAAATGGGGTAAAAATTTGAACACCAAAATTCACCGTCCTGCCCCGCTTATAGAGTCCTATCCCGTAAGACGACACCCACTTCCATGTGGCCTCGATCACAACGTTCCCTCATCAGCTGAAGAAAAGGGGAAGGTCTAGCTCCTGATTGAGTGAATGGGAGTCGATAGCAGGGATATCATAATCAATAGCACGTAGTCACAGAGTAAATACGGTTCTCATTGGCTAATGTGTGTATGTTATGGATTATCTGTGTGTGTGTGTGTTATCAGGGTCACTCCTATAGCAACTACCTTGAATAATTGAAAGTCGACTCACGTAAAAATGTGCAAGGCTTAAATTACAACACAATCGCCTGGAATTAAATAACTTCGTGAATTATTTTGGCCGTGCCACATCCATCTCGCTTAAATGTGCCCTAATATTTTCTAGAAACCTTTTGTTGCAACTATAGGTAAATAGGATAAAATTATATCGGAATTGTTGTGGATTGGCGTACCTTGTCCTCTAGTGGCCGTGCCTTACGGTAATAATCCCGAGCATCCCTTCTCCGACAAAAACGACGGAGAGAGGAATTTAGCACGGGACGTCGCCACGTCTCAATGCGCGCCGCTCCCTGATTGCGTGACGGGAAGGTCAGGGCCGGCTCCGGGCTGGAAGAGGCACTATCTCCACCGCCGCGGTGGCGATGGCTCCGGGTCTCAAGGTGAATGATTCACTCCTGCCGGAATTAATAGTTTTGCTGCTTTGGACAATCTTTAGGCTTAATTAAAATTCCCGGAATGCAATTAATTTCTTTGGAGGGGTCTAATGAGTACATCACTCTTCACGGGTCCCCCAGTGCGATAAAGGGTCGTACCAGAATTTATACGGCATGGAAACCGCATTCGGACCGTAGTTGTTCAATTGCGCCATCAACACAGTGGACTCTGCGAGAGTTAATGCTCTTTTATAAAATATCACACGTGTACTGTGTTAAAACTTTCTAAATAACAAAATAATTTACAGCCGTTTTATCAACCCACGCTTTTGACGGTTGTGTGACCATTGCTTCGCCATGCTGCTCAGCGGATTGTACAGTATGTATGTTTGTATTTTTGAACTTCTTTCCCACCAGTTTAACACGTAGGATTTAGCGACCTATATCATCAATAATATATGTTGTTTTGTAAATGTTGTGGATTTGCTCTCCAACACACCGGTGTGTTGTACTGGTAACGAATTGGCATGTTCTGTTTACGTGACAAACCTTACTAATTGGCTGTGTCAGGTGGTGGCAGGTTTAATGACACATATTGACGCGATCTAACGCAATAAAAAAACTATTCTTTCCCACCGTACGTAGCCAACCATGCTAATGACAGTGCAGGTTGTGGGCCGTTGGGCTGTTTTAGATATCGCCTACCACTGACGTTAACCGAGGTTGGGAAAGGAAGTCGGTGCTGCTGGTGTTGGTGGGGCCTCAGTCGGGTTTATTATGAAGCTCTGTGGAGCGGGGCGCGCGGTGGAGCAGGGCGCGCGGTGGAGTGGGGTGCCCGGTGGAGCGGGAACGCGCGGTGGAGCGGGCGCGCGGTGGAGCGGGGCGCGCGTGGAGCGGGGCGTCGTGGAGCGGGGCGCCCGGTGGAGCGGGGACGCGCGGTGGAGCGGGCGCGCGGTGGAGCGGGGCGCGTGGTGGAGCGGGGCGTCCGGTGGAGCGGGGCGTCGCGGTGGAGCGGGGCGCGTGGTGGAGCGGGGCGCGCGGTGGAGTGGGGCGGCGCGGTGGAGCGGGGCGTGCGGTGGAGCGGGGGCGCGCGGTGGAGCGGGGCGCGTGGTGGAGCGGGGCGTCTGGTGGAGCGGGGCGCTGCCACAGCAGTGGAATCGTTCTCACCTTGAAATCCAGAGGTCACCAGGCTCGATTCCATCTCCCAACTCGGCACTTGAAACAATGGTGCAGGTTTATTAAATTCTCTCACTTGCGGCCTCCATCCAGCCAGCAGCATTAATGGGTTAGTCAACTGGTTAGGTTGACCACAGTTTATGGGTGGAGTAAAGTGTGTCAAGTGTGTAAAGTGTGGGTACTCCCTTCTCTTCCAACATGTGTGGTCAGTGTGGAAGAGACTCGACCTCCGTCTCGTAGTGGAGGCCCTTTCGCCAGCAGTAGTGTGAGTAGGCAATTGCAGGGCTTGCACCATGACCATGTTTTAGGCAGAGTACTCCTCTGCTGTATCCCAGCTGGCTTGGAGAGTCTTGTGTCCTTATTTGAGCCCTTTAATAAAAGTGTTGTTGATGCGAAAGTGACGCTGATGCATTTGTTTTCGTTTTCAGGAGTGGTAATTCGCCGTGGGTGTAGTCCTGGGTGACAAACCACTCCATTACGTTTGAGTGCTCCGAGAAATGGAATTGATTTGTGTTTTGTCTTCGCTGTGACCTAAAAATTGTGCATCCTCCAAATCAGTCGTTTTAGCTCTCGTGAGGAGTTCCGGATTTGTCGTGATTATCAACGCGAGTGATGTGTGCACGATCGAGTCAAAGAAAGCAGTGGACGTTATTTTTTTAATCGAATTCACTTTTAGTTGAAATGATGGACTAAATTTTGTTTGCGAGGGTTGACATTTATGGAGGCCTTAAATGAGTTACATATTTTACATCCTGAAGTCACATTTAGTTGTTATATTTCACTTGCACGTGAAAGTAAAATGCTACGAATTTTGAGACAATTTAGCGATTGAATAGATGTATTTAAATAGTTATGAGTACATTTTATTTGAGGGGATGACTTCAATTGTTGCCGCTGTAACCACTTCTACAACTGTCGCGAGTCATCATGCGAGTCAACATGCATCACAGTTGCGTGGAGTCCTCCCTGTGACTAAGGGACGTGTCCAAAGTTGAAACTTTAAAGAGATCATTGATCTTTAGTGAGTTTAAGAAATGTTTATGGAAGCTGAAAACTGATTTGCTCTGAATGCTCCATTGCACTGGGACACTTTCAGAGTCAAAACTGTCATGGCCGCAGACCGGCCTCTCGCTACGGAGAGGCTCAGGTTGTTAGTTTTGTCTCTCTCAGTTGATCGCTTGAATGACTACAATTCAAGTGTGTGGCTTGCCCGGCACACAAATTTCCTCGTCATTTGATGCACGCACAGACGCAAATTCTGCCCAGGGCTTCTTGTCCGGCACGGCCACTAGGAGTGAGAAAACGAATTCCTGCCCCGTGGCGTCCACTGCTGTGCCCTGTGGCCTTCCCCTCTGGCTGATGATTGCTTCTGGGTCACCAAGGCTAACTGATAAGACTCGGCCCCTTCTTACATTCGGTCGGCCACATACACAGGTCGCGTGAGAGGGAAATCGTTTTAAAAAGCGCAAATCAAGTTGGTCGTCAGTGCCGCATTGCTGACTCGGTGTACATGTGTACGTACAGCGCGTTTGTCAATTCACTGCTGGATGAGCACATAGACGTGGGAGCATAGCAAGTACAGTACAAAAATGGGTTTTACCACGCTGCCCTCTGCTGCCGAACCAGGCGACTTTGTAGGGGACATTTTTTTTTCAAATTGTCATAAATATTAATCTTAAGTGATACTGTGATTAAGTGTCTCAAAATTACCTGAATAATGTATTTTAAGTGGACCCCTGGCTATT